ATCGGCCCGAAAGGGGCAAAAATAATACAGTGTAGGCCTGACTTAAACCTTCATTTTTAGGAGTAATTACCTATTCTAATTATTTCCTATTTTTAGTACACTACGTGGGTATTCAAAGAGCAAACAAGATGGACAATGAGACATATTGCCCCTCTTTTATTTTCCCAGACTGAGAGTTCCACTATCAGTGGAAATGGGTTAAATTTTCCAGTATATCGTTACAAAGGTAAAAGCAGTACCTGAGTGGAGGAGAATCCTCCATAATAGTTCTGCTGGGTCGTCAGCCACCGAACAATCCCTGCAGCATAACCCAGATCCTCGGTAGTGTGGGAGGCAGAGAGTTTAGCCAGCAGCACATAGGAGCTTATCTCCACAGACAGAGAGGCAGATGTTTCTGCTGCTGTCTGAGACCAGTGGGTGAAACCACCTGAAAGCAGCCATCAACAAACAACGGGACTGAAAATGATCCACTGTCATCAAATACTCAGTCCCAGTATAAATGACTCACCATCTTTAGTGGCCACTGAGTCGAGGTGCTGCAGGAGGTGAGCTCTGGTCTCCATGTCTCCTGCCAGAGTGAAGACGTACGCCAGCAGAGCTGTAGTGTAGATGTTGCTGAAATCATTGACGGACTCTCTGAGGCACGACAGGCTTCGTTTCACCACAGCGTCCTTTGACAAAACAAAACAACAACGTAGGTGCATGTCCACTTTGAGAGACATAATCAAAACAAAAAAAATCCAGAAATCACAATTTATGATTTTCTAACTATCTATTTGTATGATAGAGCTGCAAATAAGTATTTGAACACCTGAGAAAATGCATGTTGGCCAGGTACCTACAAACACAGAGAAGGTTGCAAGTACCTGGTTTGATTCCCACACACTGCCACTCTGGGTCCCTGAGCAAGACCCTGAACCCCATACTGCTCCCTGGGCGCCTCTCCATGGTAGCCCACTGCTCCCCAAGGGGAGGGGTTAAATACAGAGATAAATTTCTGCAGTGTGTGTCAATAAAGTTCAGTTATCAATTATTAAAACTGGGGGAAGGAGGTTGTTCCTCCAAATCTGTCAATACATGGCCCCGGTCATCCTCTCCTTAACACAGTGCAGTCACCCTGTCCCATGTGCAGGAAAACACCCCCAAAGCATGATGCTACCACTCCCATGCTTCGCAGTAGGGATGGTGTTCTTAGGATGGTTCTCATCATTCTTCTTCCTCTAAACACGGTTAGTAGAATTATGACCAAAAAGTTCTATTTTGGTCTCATCTGATCACATGACTTTCTCCCATGACTCCTGTGGATCATCCAAATGGTCACTGGCAACATGTGCTGGTTTAAGCAAGGGAACCTTCCATGCATGATTTCAAACCATAACGTCTTAGTGTATGACTGACAGTAACCATGGAAACGGTGGTCCCAGCCCTTTCTTAGTCATTGAGAAGCTCCTCCTGGACTGATTTCTAACCTTTCTTAGGATCACTGAAACCCCGGCTCAAGGAGCCCCAGTCTGAGGGAGATTGACAGTCATATTTAGCTTCTTCCATTTTCTAATTATTGCTCCAATGGTGGACCTTTTTTAACCAAGCTGCTCAGCATTTTCCCCATAGCCCTTTCCAGCCTGGTGGAGATGGACAATTCTGTCTCTAGTGTCTTTGGACAGCTCTTTGGTCCTGGCCATGTTAGTAGCTGGATTCTTAGTGATTGTATGGGGTGGACAGGTGTCTTTATGCTGCTAACGACCTCCAACAGGTGCATTTCATTTAGTATAATAAATGGAGTTGAGGTGGACATTTTGAAGGCAGACTAACAGGTCTTTGAGGGTCATAGTAAGAAAATCGTGGATTTTTTTTTAGATTATGTCTCTCACAGTGGACATGCACCTATGATGACAATTTTGGATCCCTCCATGATTTCATAATGGAAGAACTTGCAAAAAATTTTTTCAGGGTAGCCAACTCCTTAAAAAAAAAGGGACCCCTCCTGTGCGTCCCAGCTGACCCGATTGCCTTCACCCTTCTGGCGTGGGGATTTTTTTTTAGCCCTTTGTGTGTGAAATTATTATTTTTTTTATATTTCACTCAAATCTGCATTGAATTAGATGC